TTTTTTTTTTTTTTTTTCAAAAGAGAGAGCAGGGAGCTTTTATTAATATTAATACAAATAAATTGGTGCAAAAGTCTGAAAAAAGTTTTTTCTGACATCACTATGCAAAATGTTATATGTACTCACATACATCACACATTTGTAACTTATTTTAATACTAAATTACTTTTATTTATATTTTAATCTTAATAAATATTTAAGTTTTTTTTTTTTTTTTTTTTTTTTTTTTTTTTTTTTGCTGCATAGAAAGCGAATCAAAGGCAGTGACTAATCAATGGCCATGCAGTTAAATCTAGCTAACAAATGTGACTCTCCAGATTATTTTTCTTTTCAGATTGTTGTTAGTTTTTTCACCATAGGCTCATTTTTTTAGACTAGACTACATATACATTTCAATAGAATAGCTCTTTAATAAACAGAGGATAAAAAAGAAATCAATTTTAGAAAATAACATTATAACTCCCCCAAGTTTTACTGGGTAGGTTTTTTTTTTTGGAACCCTGCAAAGAACAAGGAGAGAATTCTAAATATGGCTTAAACATTCCCCCCCCCTCCAATGCTCACCTGATAAGCACTCGTCGTTCCCGGTATCAGTAGGTCAGATTTGTTGGCCACTCTTTCAGGGGCACCCTATTAAGTGAGCCGTTGTTGCTTCCTCAGTAAGAACAGATAGTACAGAGAATGAAAGAACATCTATGCCCTGTCCAGGATTTGAACCCAGGACCTTTCTGTTTATAGGTCAGCTCTCTGACCACTACACAGTTCGGTCAGCATTTAATTTTTATAAATAAACTGATTATAGATATTTACTCTATTAAGTAGTGTATTTTGATGCATTCAAAATACATGTCCATCACCCAAACAGAATTTGGGGTATAAAGTGTGCAATATTTTAAACTCTCTATTAATTTTTTTTTCAAATATAAAACTGTGCTAATACAATTCTGCAATCAGCAAAATTTTCTGAAGCTTGTTAAGTAGTTTGCACTTACCTGTTTTAGGATTCTTTATATAAATCTTTTTGTGCAATAAACATTAAAAGAACTTTTTAGCGTCATTTACATTGGTTTTCATCAGTTTAAACTGTAATAAATTAAATTTTAAAGAAAATCCAAGAACTGACAAATGTGTAATTTTAAATTACTGATTTAAAACCATGAATCTCGTAACTTAGTTGCTTTAAAAATTGGAGGAGAGAAATATTAAAAGAAACACAAATCAAAAATTTTAACAAATATCCCATATGAATGGTAGAAGCCTGGCAAATGTTAAATATTCAATTTTCCAGCTGTAAAAAAGGAAGTGCCACTCACCAGTTATTGTTGCTTGGTTTGATCTTAAGTAGGCTTCTGTGTTCTGTATGACTCATACAGGGATAACATTATTAGGATTTTTTTAATATAAAATCTCTTCTAAGTTACGTCCCGCAGTGGACTGATCATTAAGAGGCGGTTCCCAGCAGATCACCGAAGTCAAGCATCACTGGCTACAGTCAGTGTGTGGGTGGGTGACCACTTGGATCAGTGTGCGTAGGAACCAAGGGTGTGCGGTATTGGTCCTCGTTAAACTGTGCTACCGTAAAGTGCTCGACTTCAAGCGCTGGTCGTCGGGCTACCGAAGCGGGGGTGCCATCCCCTCCGCAGAGGATCAAAATTGTGATGGCATGCCTTCGGATCATCCTCCGGGATGTTTCCCAGACCGTCGCCTATAGCCCATTGTGCAGCTCTAGTGCGACGTAAATTAATAACAACAACTATTCTAAGTTACCTTTATTTTCAACAATTTAAATTTTTCTTAAAAAGTTTCTGCTTTAAAAAAAAAATTTAGTTGTTTGATTGAAATAATCGTATCTTTTCTCTTTTTCGAAGTTAAGAAAAAAAATTCTGGTGATGCGATTACTGATGGATAGCTTCCAACTCTACTAGATTTTTCTGGTAGACTATTGAATTTTGCCAGTTTATCCTGGTCTACTGGCTTAATTAAAATTCTCCTGTTTTTTGTACATTTTAGGAATAGAATTATATTCTATGGAAATGGAATTTTTGTACAGATTATTGCTTGAATATTTGAATAAGTCTTGTTAATACATAATGAAATGAACCTCATTTATTGAAATCCGTTGAAAATCTTTTCCATTCTAAAATGTTCAGTTTATTTTTTTCAGAACTTTCTTTTTAAAGTAATTAAAAAATGTTTTAACTATCTTTGATTAATTAAATGCCTTTTAATGTTTGAAATTATGAATAAACATAATACATAACATTTCAAGTGTGTACAGGCAATGAGAATGTCTTTTCATGAATATATTCCTTCCTTTTTGCCTAGAATGATACTCTATGCCAGGGTTTCTTAACCTGTGGTTCATGAACCCCTAAGGGGTCCATGAGTTATATTTTGGGGGTCCGCTGACTACTCCTAATTTTTAAAACGTTTGGAAGCCTACCCNAGAATGTCTTTTCATGAACATATTCTGCCTTTTTGCCTAGAATGATACTCTATGCAAAGAGTGAAGAGCATTCTAAAAGAATAGTGTATGGAATGGTAATGCATCTGCTTGAGGGAATAAAGTAAAACCCTAAAAAAAGTATTAAGAAAAATTTTTGAACTAGAACGAAAACTATTTTAAAAAATCTTGAAGAATTTAATTTGTATAATATTTGAATTTGTTATACAAAACTGTAAATTTATAGAAAGCAGTAACATTGTTCTGAAATTTATGATTGTACTAAAAATTAAGCCAATCTGTAATAAACAGGGTTTCAAAAAGCCCACCTAGGATTTTCATCAAAAACCTGTGGTTTATTGGGTTTTTGATGAAAACCCCAAGTTTTTTAAAAAATACTTAAATTTTTATTACTGAGTACTAAATAAGAATGCACGATTTGTTTCCAACTAGAAATTTAAATATTTGGTAACTATTTATATTATAACTTGTTTTGTTGCAATGTAATTATATTTTTTTTTTTTAAGTTTTAGATTGTTATGCTATTTTTATTTCTTAATGATAAGCAGATTGTTGCCTTAAAAATTTAAATCTACTCAATTGAAAAATCCCAAACCTTTTGTTATTAATGTCTATTAGAATAAAACTCAAGCTTAGATTTTAACAATCATTTTATTCCGTTAACTTTGCAACTTAATGTACTGATTTTTTTAAAAAAAAATTTCTATTTAACTTATGGTTGCTGTAAAATTAAGTTTTTACCAGATTGTTTAGTAATATTATGTAAAGTTAAATCCTAATAACAGTTTTGGCTGGAAATAATTTTATGTGAAGCTCACCGTAAAAGTTCTCAAGCAGCAAAATAACTTGGGCCCTCATTGGACTAATATTCACGAATCTCAATAAGGGTTCAAAGGGCTTTTATTTTTCCGATATTGGCCTATTCACCCGATATTTTACAGCCGCTTACAACCCATATTGGTCCAATATAGAGTTGTCAAATTCACTCGATATTTTGTTGTCATTATTCAGCCAACATAAGCCCTAACATTGGTTGTAAATTAGCCAATATTGGTCCTTCGATGTATGTTCACATAGGACGGATATCGAGCCAATTTTGAACCCAACTGGGTCCTAGAAAAATTGTTGCTAGGGTTAATATAACACATTTACTTTTTTTCTTTTTGCCTTTCTCATGCCTGAACATGTAAGGCATCATTGTCTAATTTCGTGTGCATGTTATCAGCTATCTCAACGTATGATTGATATATTGTTTGAAATGTCATTTGTGTAGGTATGTCTGCCACAACAGTTACTCAAAGTATCAGCAGTCCAGTTCCTTCTGCAGTTACAGTCTCCAGTCCATCTGTTCCAGATATGATGCAGCAGTCAAGAAATTCCATGAGTTTGCCACCACCCCCTCCAGTGATGGATGAAGGTAGTCAAGCATCCAATGCCTCTGCATCATCTTCTTTACCTGAGGAACGGGTTGAAACGCCAAAGCCAAACAATAAGCCTGTGATGTCTCATCCTCCGACACCAAATACATTGCCGTCACCTGGGGCAGCATCTATGTCGTCCTTCCACGACGAATTCGAAAGTGTCTCTAGCCCGAGTTGGCCCAGAACGCCAGCTAGTCCTGTGAGTACAATACCTTCTGATAACAGGGAGTTTTTTCTTTTTCCTTATAAACTGGGGAAATAGAGGGAATTTTTTTTTAATTTTCTTTTACAAAATGTTGACCTCTCAAAGTGCAAATTTTGGATTTTAAGTGCTTAAAGGGTGTTTATTTTTTGTTGGAAAATCTGACAACATACCCTGAATTTCATGGGTCTAAATTTAAAAAATAAATAAACGTCTATTTCGAGCAAGCTTTTACATTTCTTTGGTGAGAACTGCTACCAAATCATCCCTTACTCCCCTCCCCCCCACCCCTGTAGAGTAAATAATAATAGAGTATTACTGACCAATGGGAAGATTCTTGGTGAACAGAATATTAAATAATAATAAAAAACTACAAAAAAACAGAGAAACGGAATAGAAAAAAATTCCATTAAATGAGATAGGAATAATTTACATGTAAATAGTTTATTTTTTTATTTTAATTTTAAAACAATTCGAATTCTGAAGTTAAAATTGCATTTTTGAATTCTTGCTTGCCATTTGTTTTTTTTCCTATTAGCCATTTTTTTCCCCTAATAGATTTATTTGCCACAACAATCCTTTTTTCATTGAATAAAGTATAAAGTCAGTACAATTCTGAAAGAAATGAGCATAACAATGTTGTTATTCCGAATGAATGAAATCAGCATAACAATTTTGTTTTTCCTTAAGGGACTCATTATGCTTTGTATAAAATGAACAGTTTGTAATATTGAAATGATATGATAATTCTAAATGATTGAATTAAATTAATGTATTTGTACTTTTTAGGTCATCAATAATCAAGTTTATGATCATCACCCAATTAAGGTAAAAATAATGTTGTATTATTTCATTTTTATTATTAATGGTGCTTTTGAAAATAATAATGCATTATTTGGATATTTTATAAAATTATACTTCTAGTGTTCATTAACAGATCATAACATAAGATAAACTCATTATAGAGTTAAACCTTGTTAAAACAACAAACTTCATATAAAAAGTTTAATTTTCTTATGATTGCAAACTACTTTAATAACTATTAAAAAATGAATTTTTAATTTTTATATGGTTGACATACGAAACCTTAATGCTTGGATTGAAACAAATTAGAGTCCTGAATGAAGCTTTGTTTGCAGTAATATGCAATACTCTGCAATTAGTTCAGTTGCAGCTCGATTCAAATCAAGACATCTGTATATTTGAAATGAGTTTAGATTGGTAGAAAGTACAAATCTCTTAGAATTATTGTATTGTTATTAAAAAAGGGTTATAATCAATGAGTTAATAAGTCTAGGAACCAAAATCTAGTTATCTTATTTTAGTGGTTGATCTCATAAGTAGAATATCACATATAGAATGATTATTAATGTGTTTTTATTTTTGCAGCGTCCTGACGGTATGCTGAAATTGTACGATATCTCTGATGATCCTGATAGAAGATTATTTTTAGATAAACTAATCATGTATCAGGAGGAGAGAGGTACTCCTCTCTCTCAATGCCCCACAATCAGCAAGCAGCCACTTGATCTCTACAGGCTGTACTTGGCTGCTAAAGAAAGGGGTGGCTTTGTTGAGGTATTTATTATCATTCCATTACAAACAAATTGAAAACTCTTTACCGTTTATTAATGTTCACATAATTATTAGTTAGGTTTAGAGGTTGTTTATTTAACCGCCTGTTTCAACGAAAAGCTTCACCTCTGATTTATTTAGTTAGATGATTATTTAATTTCTAATATCGAAGAGTAAATTTGTGTAAAGTTTTTGGCAGATTTGTAGAAGCTAGATGATGCATTGTGAAACAGTTTTTTTTTAAATTATTTCTTTTTAGCAATTGTGATTGAAAATATTCATCACACAAGTGAAAACTGTTTTATTTATTTCAAACATTAATGCTAAATAAAGTAATCATGAAATTGAAAATGCTTATTGATCATATATTTCAGGTCTTTTAAGACACCAATTGTGGTATTAAATATATTTTGTTACTACATGCATTCAAAAAAAAAATAGAATAAAATATATTTTAACAGAGAACACTTATTAACGACCGGTTTGCCCGAGTATTGCATTGCAAAGTATGATCCCTGTGGCCGAATTTTTTCAGGCTTTCTGCGTAAAACCTCTCTGGCCCGAATATCTTTTTTTTCCTACTTTTAATTGTTATAATTAAAAGTGACAAAAACGTTGTGTTAATGAAAAAAATTCTATTTGGATAAAATAAATTGTACATCTTTGAAGTAGAAAATGTCTCTAGATTTTTCCTTTTTGCCTTTTTGTAAATCATCACATTACAAAAGAAACTTATTAAAAATCCTCAAATCAGTTGCAGTAACTACCGAACACTACTTATATTATTTCTCAAATGAGAATAGAAAATTTGCGAGCATTTCTTTCCCCTCTGATATGCGAGAAAGCCATCTTTCAAATATAATTCTTCAGAAAGAATCTCTAACATCTTTACAGAAACGAAACCAAATTTTTGTTGCTTCCCAAAAGAAATATCTTTCTGCAAGAACTCAGTAACATGCTGCGACAATGTCACCACAATTCTGACACAGGGAGCATGATATATTTTTCTTAAAAAATATATATCATTCATATTTGTCGAAATATATATAAATAAAAGATATATTTACCTTTGTATAACAAAGTATAATTAAATTTAGCAGATTGATCATTTTAACATAATTTGAATGTTTCAGGTGATGAAAGGTAAGATGTGGAAGGAAATTGCAGGACTGATAGGGATTGGTGCTTCTTCAAGTGCGGCATATACTCTGAGGAAACAGTACATCAAACATCTTCTGCCTTATGAATGTAAATACGATAGGGGAGGCATTGATCCTGTTCCTCTCATAAGTAGCCTGGAGTCTAATTCCAGAAAGAAAAATGCCAAAAATGCAGGTCTGTATTCATTCCATTTATCATTTTTATAATTGTTATGCAATTGATTCCCGCTTTAGCAAATTCCTAGGGACCAAAGCAATCTCTACACTGTAACCATGGCGCATAGAGTTTTTAAAAAGTGCTTAATTTTGATTTTCGTTATTTAAAAGCCCTTAAAGGTGCTTTTTTTTTATTGGGTATTTTTAAAAAGTGCTTAGTTTCCCTTTTCGAAAGTGTGATTTTTTTCTTGACCATGTCGCTTTTCGCCACGTATTATGTAAAAGTGTGGTTTTTACATTGTTCTATTCAACCTTTTAACAATTCATTCCACCACAATCCTTTTCGGCGGCGTACCGTCGGTTGATAGCGTATGAAAGCGACAATCATTTTACATGTTTGATGAAATACTTGCGAGTCTGTATGTGCGTCTATTTAGCTGGGTTCGATGAGATTATTGCACTCTCATGTGTTACTCTGCTGCATTTTGCAAGATATTCTCAATTTCAGACTTCATTTTCCACCCTCTGAAATCGAACTGAAAAATTTCTCGATCTTTTTATGGTGGCTAATATTATCAAGAAAAAAAGTTCTTTGTTAGAAACTATTTATTTTGTCATGATCATGTAAAGTCAACGAAAACTATTTTGCATTTTGTTAATGTATATAGTGCTTAAAAATATTTTTTGAGTGCTTAAAAAGTACTTAAAAGGTGCTAATTTTTTGTTGAAGGATTTGGCTACGCACCCTGTGGAACGAAAATTCATTTTACCGATATTACGAATTTCAACATTAACCAAAATGATTTTGTTACATTAGAATTTTCAGGGGTCTGTCTAGGTTTTTCTGAGAGATACCTATTTTGTGAAAATTTAGACATAATGTGTGAAAATTAAAAACTATATTAAAAAATCAATTCAAAAATATGGTAAAAACATGGGATTCAAAAATAAAATTTTAAGAAAAAGTATTCTGTTAAACTACGGTTTTTCCTAAAGTTGAATTTGTAAATGTACCGCTAAACAGTAGTAAATTTGGTCTGGACAGACCAGACCCCTGATTTTTAGCATAAAAAAATAATAAATATTGCATTTAATTATAAGTTTTGATCTATTTTTACTCTACAAGTAGAAAATATCAAATCAATATTTTAAAAGCTCACAAACCAATTAAATTAAAATGAATAATGGGTTTATTATCACTTACCTATAAGAAATTGGGTAATCCGTGATTTTTTTCAGTACACGGGATTTAGAACCAGTAAGAATTACAAAATTCTCCAAATGATGCACATTTTCAAACGACTGAAGTGGAAATCCACTCTTTTGGGCAGCCACATGCATTTTTACTTCTTCAAACATGAATGGTTTAGTATTTTCAGGGTGGTTCCTTCCGAGTGATTCTTCTTCTTCTTCTTTTTTTTTAAAATGTCTTTTTCGTATCTGAAACTTTTTATTTTGAAGATGCAAAAATATTTGATTTCTGAGATCATTTTGTACTTTTGAAGAATGGAAAAGTGTTTTAATAACGAGGGAAACTGAGAGTTGTTGCTTATTTTCACCTTCTTTAAATCGGATTACAAATTTTTAATATCGGTATTTTTAATTAATTGTTTCTATGGGGGATTCCAAAATTTTCATCATCATTTTATTTCGGATTTCGCTAAAATGGAATTTGGTTGTATTAACCAAGAATCAAATACTTCATTTAAAACATTTCCATTTTGGTACTAAATATAATTAACAAATGATACTTTAAAAAAAAACACACACACACACACACAATTAGGTTTTCTGTGAATTAATAAAAATTCTATGACACGTTATGTTGAGAAATATTTATAAGGAAGAACAATAGACTGCCTTTGCTGATAGGGAAATATGAATGTTGAATTTGAAATATGAGTTAGGTTATATTACATTTTTTCAATTTTTTGTGATATGAAGTATTTGACATAGTGTGGTATTAAACTTATTTAAATTAAAACTTCATGATTCCAGTTATAAAATAAGTTTTTGTTTTACTTGGCAGATTTTCAAAAGATTTAATACATTTTTTCATAATTTGTTTTACTTTTGGTATTTGTATACAAAATCATTTTATGTCTTTATATTATATTTTTCTTCTCCTTATAATATAACTGCCAACATGGATAGGAAAAAATCTAGTTAATTTTATAGACTATAAATTTCATTCATGATAACTGTATCATAATACACTAAATATTTTATTTATCGGGAATTTTAGGGAGTTTCATTGTCTTCAATGTACAAATGCTATTGCGCTTATGATGAGATAATTACAGAGATGACGCTTCTGAAAAAATTCGGATTTCTGGACTTTTTGCTAATTGCGATCTGGAAGCTACCGGAAATCTGAAATCCAGAAGTTTCAAAAAATCATTGTTCACATTTATGAATAAAAATTCTTATATATTTTATTTAAAAATATTAGAACCAGAATTTATGCTTTGCATCTCTTTCATTCGTGTATTTTTTTTTCTGGTATAATAATAGATGTGATTACAGATAAAGGTAAACTTATACATAAAATATTCATTTAAATTATGCTGCATAGAATTCCATGTTTTGAAAATATCAATGATTTAAAATTATAAACATGTTTATTTTTTTGAAATGCGTCATTAATGATTTTACTCAAAAAATTTTCAGGATATTTGAGTTGGGCTCACAATCACCCCTGTTACTATAAATTTTTCATTTATGACATTAAATGTGAATTTGAAATGTTTTTTCTTATGTTAACTCATGATTTTGAATAGTAATAGACAAGTAATTTATTATTGATAGTTAAAAAGTTTTTTTTTTTGTCAATTTTAAAGGGTAGCTCTGCATAAAAATAAATTAAAAATTTTAGAACGAATAATACTTCAGTATGTTGAGTGTTAATACTTTAATTCAACTCATAATGGCTTGGAGGAAAAGAGTGTTCGCCTTCCAATGAGGTGAACCGGGTTCTAATCTCGGCAATGACTGGTCGTAATAAATTCCGCATCCAGCTTGCGCCAAATACAGTGATGATGTAAAATATTCTCAGTGGTAGACAGATCGCAGGTCCCTTTGCCGTGAGGCTAACCATGGGTACTCTCCATGTAACTCAAATGTGGCTTAGTTTCATCAAAAAGGATTTCTGGATTGGGTTCACAATTACAAAGCTACTGAGTTAAACATTAGTAGTCATAAGCCCAAAATTGTCAGTTGTTCTATGACAGTTTTAGAATAAAATAGTTTGAGTAATTACAAATAGGGATTTAAAAAAAAAAATTCTTTAGATCAAGATTTATATACATATTTTTTACTTCATTAAATGTAAGTGCTTATATTAAGTCAAAATTTATTTCAAAAGGGCTAGAAAAAAATATGCAAACTATACATTTTTGCAAGTTCCTTATAATAANGAATTTTAAAGAAAAGCTGGAAATTTTTTCTTTGATAATTTTTTTAATTTCACTAATTTAAATTATTTACTAATTTTCTTAAGCTAAATTATTTCATCCATTATACCCACTTTTTTTTAAACGGAAATGTATCGCCAAACCGTTGAAATATCATCAACTTAGCGATACTTTGCTTGCATCAAAATTTGCTCCATTACAGCTCTGTCAAACTAGAATACCACATAAAATTCTCCCACGGTTGCTAAACAAATGCAGAAACCTTTGACCACTATGGGACTGTGCAATTCAGGGGAGATTCTGGTGAAGATGGAAAAAGGGATTAGGATATTAGCTTCTGTTTTTAAATTCTGTCCTTGGGGCTGAATCCATTTATGGCTAAGTTTGTTCCAATACTTCGGTGGTAATTTTTTTTTTTCAATTTTGACAAAATGTTTTTGTATTTTTAACTTTATAAAATTCTCCAAAAATTGTTGGTTATAATTTAATAATAATAGATTTTATATTGCACTCTTTTTCTGAAAGCTTTTCTACTCCCATTCAAAGAAATCTGTGAATTATTTTTTCTCAGCAAACCAACCAATCGCACATTTTTTTACAATCGCTAACAGTTATGTTTTTCGATAAATCGTTACAATTGTTGCATTAATGCTAATTTTTTCTATTTCATTTTAACCTTTTATAACGTATTTTAAAAAAATGTTTTTTTTTAAGAACCAACTATATATTGATATTTAATTTTAGTCTTTTGTTGGTCAATATATGAGTTTTGATTCAAAATTTTGTACCAAAACATTTGAAAAATAAATTAAAAATTTTACCAAATTGTCAAAATAAATTATTTTTTTCAAGATGATATGTTAAGAAAATAACATTTTGAATGAAATATTTTACAATATAAACACTTTTCTTGTACACATCCTACACTTTATATAAGAAAAAAGAAACAAAAACCTGGAAATTTTAAGATTTTTTTCTGGAAAACCTGGAAAAATCAGGGAAATTTGAAATCTGATTTGAGTGGCCACCCTGTATCAATTGCTATATAAGTATGTCTAGTGTTTATTAATTTAAAACCTGTTTTGTGTTTAAGTATTTCAAAATCTGATTTTCCATTTATCAAATTTTCCATATAATGAACTTATTATCGAGATTTTGTTAAATTGAGGTCGAACTGAAATATAATTTTGCCCAATACAGCTCATATAAGAGCACAGTTATTGTGCTATTTTTCTCTCTCCATATTTGAGTGGCAACCTTGAATTATAAGATGCTTGTGTTAAAATTGTAAAAAATATTGTTATTTCTTTTATTCTGTAATGTTCTTTCTCCCTAGGTGGGCCCATAATGGATGGTTACCCATCCCCTTATCCCGGTGGATACCCACCTAATGCTGGATCTCATCCTGGCATGATGTCAGGATCCGATTATCCAGGACATCATCCTCCCTACCAAGATGGCATGCATCATCCTGGAGGTCCTATGGTTAATCATTCAGGATCAGAGGGTGCAATGGACCCTTTCAATGATGACATCCAAAGTTCCCAGTATCAGCCTAGGCACAGCTCCGGTGACACCTACGGATACTCCCAAGCGAACGCAAATGCCAACATGCCCCCGTATTCCGGAAACCAACCCAACGTACCCTCTTCGTCTTTCGGCTACAGTAATACTGCTGGGCAGCAAGAGCCATATAGTGATCAGTATTCAAATACCATGGTGCCTCCTATTGCTGAGACTAATTTTCCCAATAGGAATATGGTGCCTGATCCATATGCACCACCACCTGGTGGGTATCCCCCTAACAGGACGGTTGGACCAAATGCCACTCAGTACCCTAACTACCCAGACCCTTGCTCTGATCAAGAGAGGTACTTCTTTTTTACTGTCATATCATCACCCTCTATTATATGATTTCTATTATATGATGAAAAGAGTAGAAATTATTAAAAATTTTAAAACATATAAACTCATCATTATATTCGTGTCTCGTCATGCAATTGTACCCGAGAAAATGCTTTCTGTTTTCAGGGAAGAAATGTGTAGAAGAAATTTGGGTCCGTTAACGGACACTTCACAAAGTATCTTTTCATAAAAACAGACCCTTCACAAAATAATTTATCTTTTAATTGGACACTTCACAAATTTGTTTATCTTCATTATTGTTTTGTTAATCGAATAAACCCTTTCCAGGGGTGGGAAAGAAAGACGATTTGAGACAAACCCAAAGTTTCCCTAAGTTTAAATTCTAAATGTAGTATTCTAAGAAAATATTTCTACTTTAACAAACATTGTTTTCACATTCTCATTAATATTAAATCATAATTGTTTTTTTTTAAATGAATAATTGATCAATTTATATTTATTCATAAAATTAATTAATAGAATATTATGTAAATAAAAATTAATTTCTGGCAATTTTTTAAATAAAATATTATAAATTTAAGAATTGTTTAAATTTACTCAATACATAACACATTAAAAGTGATACATTATTAAATTGTGTCATTTAAAATATGCCAATTGAAATTATTAAAAATGTGAGGGATTTGGTTTCCATTATTCATCCGAAAGGAATATTCTGAGTTGAGCAGTATAGGCTAAATACAAAATATTTGTATGTTGTATTTCTAATTTAGTAGCAGCAATTGTTGAGCAAAATCTTGTATCTATTTACAATTTAAAAACTTCTTGAAAAGGTTTCTAGCAATTTTTACAATATCGGGACCCTATTTGCACAAACTCACAAAAACAGGACTCTGGTTGAAAGAATGTGACTTAACGCTTATTTTATATTCGCAAATTTATGATAAGTTTTTTTTTTTTCATCTACAAATTTACAAAAACAGAACCTTTCACAAAATGTCTGGACAGACCCCTGGTTATTTATTAATATCCAGGGGTGATTGTGATCCGGAAGTTTCAAGAAATCACCCATTAATTTTTTTTTTTTCCTGGGGGAATAATAAAAGTGATTAGAGATAAAAGTAAACTTATACATAATTATTCATTTACAGTATGCTGCATATAATTTATTTAGAATTTCATGTTTTGAAGTTTTTTTTTATTTTTAAAATGGTGGGCACTTGGGGTTTGTCCTATTGGCCACATTTTACTCAAGAAATTTTCAGGATTTTTGAGGTGGGCTCACAATTACTCCTGAATATCCATACAATAGTGTGTGAATCAGGGTTAGAAAAAACCCAGGTATTTAAGAAAAAACTCAACCCTTCCTGGGTTTTATTGAAAAAACCCAGGGAAAATTGGGTTTTATTTGAAAAAACCCGGGGATTTTCGATTTTCGTTTTTTAAAAGCCCTTAAAGGTGCTTTTTTCATTTAGTGTTTTTAAAAAGTGCTTAATTTTCCCTTTTTAAAACTGAGATTTTTCCTTTACTATGTTGATTTTCGCTTCGAATTATGCATAAAGACACAGTTCACATTGTTCTATTCAACGTTTTCACAATTAATTTAACCCCAATCTATTTCTGCGCATTGTCAGTGCGTAACGTATGAAAACGCCATTCGTTTCGCATGATTCAAAATTTCATGATTATGACGATTAAAACAATAAAACCATCAATCGTCAAAAACATTCCAACCCTGCCTACTTATGATATTTTTCAAAGTGCTTAAAAATATTTTTTTTAGTGCTTGAAAAGTGCTTAAAAGGTGCTTATTTTTTGTTGTATAATTTGGCTACACACCCTGATATATATTACTTATTACAAATTTATAATGAGTCAAGACTAAAATGTCATATGACTTGTACCTTTAATAAAATTAAACTGGAATACATATTTAATGATCTTCCATGTTTTTATAATACGATTAATAGAAAGTGAAATTAAAATTATATATNTTTAAAGCCAGAAAATAAAACTGTTTAAATTTGTTAATGTATCACTTGGTAAAAAAAGAAAAAAATTGTTTCTTTTCAATTTTTTTAAACATATGAATTAATAATAATAACCTGTTTATTAATATATAAAGCATGCAACTATATTTGAAAAATTGATCTTTTCAGACTATATTATTTGAATTTCTATTTGATTTAATATCATTAAAATATTACTTTTTGAAAACACCCACTTAAAGTTTTCAGTAGTACTATAAAATTATAAGATTCGAGTTTCTTTTACTTTACAAATATTAAAAACTTAATCATATAAATCATGCAACTCTATTTCAGAAATTTATGCTGCACAATAAATTATATAAAAGTAAATATGCATCGCTAAGTTTTAATAAAATTTTGTTGTTGAAAAAACCCATTTATCGTTCCAAGTGGGTTTTTTGAAGGTGGACCCACTTGGCGAACCCTGGTGTGAAGGGATAAAAGAATGAGACCGCTTCATTAACATAATTTAATCAAGTAAAAATGTCACAAAGGATTGCAAATAAAACACGAAAAGAAAAGAAAAAAGAACGTTGTTGTGTACTGACATAGTTAGAACTTGCATAGTTTAGTTCAAAATACTTTTGTAACTCAGTTACCAGTTTATGAGATTTTATACCTTGCACTTAAGGTTATTGTGTGAGTTATTAATAATAATCACTTTGGTTATAGTATTCATTAACTATAAATATTGTTACAGTTAAATAATAAATATAACTAATTAAAGTACAATTCTGACAAATAATTTACAAATAAATGAAATTTTCTTAAAAAATCACTGATAGCTATAAATAATAAATATAAATTATTATAGTAATTATGAAATTAAATTTATTAGTAATAACAGTGTTATATTCTATTTATGTGTAAAAATAAAAGTTGTTTTTAAGTTAATTCAATGGTTTTTGTTTAAAAAGGTTTAATGAATCACAACCACCTCCCACGAGTCCAATGATTAGGCCACCAACTGCAACTACGTCTGTGATTGGTTCCTCGCCTACTCCAGAACCGTCTCCTTATCCACCATCACATAGATATCCAGGTCAGCCTATGGGAGTTCGAGAGAGCATGCCTCAACAACAACCAATGTCTTTTCAAGGCCGACCCCCACCTTCTCAATATCCTAACAGTCAACCGACTAATCCAGCACCCTACCCATCTTCTCAACCAGATACATATAGAGGATCTGAGTTTCAGGTAAAAAATTTTAACTTCATTTTAATAAGATTCCACTTGTGCAGTATTATTGCTTTTGTTAAGTATACAGAACATATTCTTGCATCTTTTCTTCATGTTTAAGTCTAGCTAGAATTTTTTTTTAGTTATAACTATTTTTGTTTTCGTATTTAAAGAAGAGTGAGTGTCAAGATGTTTTTCTGTTAAAAAACTAATTATATTTAAATTACTGTTTTAGTAAATTAAAAATTTAAAAAAAAAAATTCTTTAATCATAAATAGGGTTCACACTAGCAATGAAAATTTATTTATCTGTTAGGGCTACCTAAGATACATTTAGTAGTCCGAAAATTTAATATTAGCAAACTTAAGACGGACGCCCTACCTTATTAGAGTTAAAACCTAATGCCCGAGAAATAGTTTTACTAAATTTAATGATATAACATGAAAGGCCTATTTCAACTTTACATCTCATAGTTTTAAGAATCATATTCTTTCAAACATTAAAATAAGCAAAAAGTATACATAAGCTCATAATTTTATATAATTTAATTTTGTCAAAAAAAAATTTTGACAGCAATTTTTATCAAAAAATTTTAAGTTTCAATAAAAATGATTATTTAGAAATTGAAAAACGTAAAATAACAAATACTTACAAAACGAAAAAAACAATTCTAAAAATTCCTCACATTAAAAGAAAAAAATTTAATGTTTTTAAATTCATAATCGGATGTCGAAAACTATTCTATAGTAAATTATCATCAAATTAAAAAAAAAAAAAATTTTTTTTTGCAAGTAAAAATTTTTATTATAAAAATTATAACACTTACCTGCTTTATTTTATAAATCCTAGAATTCCAAAATGATATGTTCTTCATTTGAAGACTTTATTCTCAAATAAATATACATAGCTTATCCCTTCATTACTTTAAGATGACATACCACACAGTAAAATTTTAAAATTGCAAAATCTCGATATGAATTTCAATATGTAACTTAAAAACAGAATAGCTGAATTCTAGTTGAAATTTTTTGTTCAAAATAAAAAAAATACTTACCAAGAAAACGATAAAAAATTTATTAATAATCAACATAAATGATATAATTTCAAGTAATTCGGATGATTCTTTATTGTTGTTTTCCGAATAATATAGATTCAGAAATTAAACTATTCTATAACTATTGCAGTTCTGAAACCACATTTATGGATTGGAATAAACTAAGCAATGTTGGCTTCACTTTAATTTGTAATGAATTGAAAACAAAAAAAAAAAAATGTATTTTACTGTAATACACACATTTGTAGCAGAATGCGATCACGAAATTGAAAGTTATCATTTGGAAGCTTGTTAATAATAGAAAGGTAAAAATTATTGAGAAATAGTTCTTCAAATGTTTGGCCTGTTCTGTTTCTGAAAGATTAATTAATGTTCTGGCTAGTTTTTTCAAGTTCTTCAGCCTTTTCCTGAGGGAAATTTTGCTTCTGATTTGCTACTAAGAAAATGGCTTCTGACTCTGCCAATGATAGAACTAAATGAAAACTTAATAAATAAATGCCTGATATTTTCAGGCTTCACTAGAGGGCATACTAGAGGTGAATTATCATAATTCTGGTAATAAATATAAAAGAGTTTTCTGCATAATTAAAAATTGGTTAGCAATGGCATGGGACTTTTTCACCCTTCACATTAAAAAATGAAAAGACTTTTTTCAGCTTTGTTGACAATTTTAGATAAATTTGTGGTCCCTAATAAAAATACAGAGCTATAAGCTTGTCGCATCATTATAAATAATACAATTGCTAAATACCATCAACAATCTAAATTTGTGGAATATAATTTTGAACGCTCCTAGATTTAACTATAGATATCAAAAGTTTATATTATTTAAAAGGTAAATTTTTATTTTGTAGAAAGCTAAGAACTATTGTTTTTTGTTTTGTTTAATAATTATTGTTTTTTCCTAAGAACTATTGTTTTGTAGCTTTAATACTGGTTAATTTTAAATCTTGCTATTAAGTTCTCTTTATTATTAAGGTAGAAACAAATTTGTTTAACGTTTACAATTTAAATCCTAAACAAGTTAAATTCATATTTTTTTTAATCCAAAATAAAAAATTTATGTGTTGTATATTAATTAACAAACTCTTTTTTTCTAAACATTTACAATTCAATTTAATACATAAATTCGCTTTTTTATAGAATTTTTTTTTTTCAAAATTTAAATTTTTTTTGAAGAAAACTTTTTTCAAAAATTTATTTGAAAAATTAAGTCTGCAATTATTTAAGTTAAATAGTTATATACCACAGAAATGAATCATTGTTTTCTTATTTTAGTTGTCATATTTTGAGGTAGAGGTATAACTCCATCACCAGTGGCATTAATAAACCCACCAAGTTATTATTAAAGCTAGTGTTGCCTAATTATTTGTGTTAATAAATACTACCGGTATTGTGATTGATTATAGGTACATAATATTTGGTATGGTGTTTGATTATAGGTACATAATATTTGGTATGGTGTTTTTACGTTAGCTAGGTGGAAAAAATTCAACTTTTTTTTATTTATTTTTTTTTAAATTTTTTATTTAAATAAATTTTTGTGTGTTTAATTACGTAAATAAAATTAAAAGTAGGTGGATACCTTCATTTTTGAAGCAACTTTTTGCTTGCATCGAGGTAGCCAAAAAGTACCTTCAGCACGGTGATAATAAGGATTTATTTATTTTATTTTGCATAAAACAAATGAATTTTGGAACTGTTCTAACCATAGCTGTTGCTTAAGAGTTTGAACAGCTATGACTTTTCAAGAACTTAACTTTTTACTTCAGTATTTTGAAAAAATGCTTTTAATATTTTGCAAAAAAATTCAATAATTACTTAAATTTTAAGATAGTATTGTATTTCATAAAGAAAACTTTTAACTTACTGAACATTATTGAAACTTTAAAAAGAGGCAAACTTATGATCTGGAGCAAAAGCTATCTGGCTATTTTAAAAGGAACTCTTCCACCTTCTCACATGAATTGAGTGGCATAGTTTAAATTTTTTATTTAAAAAGATCTCTGGAAATTAATATTTTTTAGATGGTATGATATAAAATTTAATTTTAAGTTCAAAGTGATTCGTTTAAATGTAATGTTACATGAAAATACATAGTTTAAGTTTACATGCATTTAGTAGTAATATTAATACTTCTGAATGTTTCTGTGAATAAGGTATTTAAAAATTGCCTGTATCTGCCTTTAGATTTTATTATCGTATAATCGAAGACTTTATTATTCATATTATTAATAATTCATCAAATTACTTTGACATTGGTTCATAATGAAGAAATGAGTAAAAATTTATTGGTTTTAATTAAGTTTGCTCATGGAAAAAATTGGGTTGACTAGTGATGTCAGGCAAACGTTATAATTGGTATTAAAATTTTTTAGTGTTTAAATAAATAAACTTAGAGGAATAAATATATTTTTTTATTCCTTAAATTTTTTTCAGTTGAAATTATTTTCCTAAAGCATCGAATGTGATCCGAACTAAATTACAGATACATCCTGTTCAAAAATTTATGAACAATCCGCCTTATGTTGTGTGAAGAGACACAACTATCATCTGTTTTTCAATCTGTTTGTAAAATTTTCTCTTTTTCATCGAATATAAAATTTGAAAATATTGATTTATGGCAACATGAGATTAGTTAAATGAACAAAAATATTCAGTTTTGAAATAACCTCAGCATAATTAAGATATACTTAATTGTCATCCACAGCCTCAGATGTCTCGATTGCAGTCAACACTTATACAAAGACTTCTTCCTAAGAACCAAATAAATCAAGTATGTCTTCAAGTCTTCATGCACTACTTACTAACAGCTTAATTAATATTTGCTGAAGCTATTAACAATAATCCTTTTTTTAGCTGTTATTTGCTTGAGTTTACTTTCATAAAGGGATGCCAACTTCTACAGATTTTTAAATCTTTCCTTGATTCTGACACCAATTTGTGGAAGATATTTTCTCAATTTTAGTTTTCGTTACCACTATTTAACCTTCTGCCTTCTTACATTTTAAATTCCATTTGAACCCTTTAGATCACTGGGATGTGGGAAACTTTCCTGAGACCGTCAGACACCCCCTCCCCCCGACAGAATCGCGACTACTTTGCTGCAGACTATTACAGCGTTCTTGCAAAAAGAATTTTCTTTTAGGAAGTAAAGAATTTAGTTGTTTAGAAGTAGTTAAGAATTTTGGTTTTCTGCAGAAATTTTTTATCTCTAAAATTGTAATTAAAAAATGCCTTTTTTGCACATCGGAGGGGAAAGAAATGTTTGTGATTTTTCTATTCTTATTTGAGAAGAATGAAAAATATATAATAATGAAATAAAAAATTTAATTTCTGCAGAAATGTTGAAAGATTTTTTTTCTTCCAGAAATCATTCTTTGACACACTCATTTTGTGCAGATATTCTCGTTAATCCATGAGGTATTTCAATCGTAAAGCAGTTATTGCTGTGAATTTTTGATTATTTTTTTAAAATCCCTATGTCTTTCATTGCTCAGTTATTATATATAGTCTCCTGAATTTTTGAAGTATACCGATATTATTACGGCACATGAAATTAAATTCGAGTATTCAAGAAATCATTATTTGACACGATTGTTTCTCTCCAATATTCTCATTAATCCACACGGTATATTTAATTTGTGTAATTTCGTCGTCAATCTTTTTCCGGTAGTCACTTGTACAGATTGCGTGATTTTTATTACTTTTTTTTTGATGTGATGATTTACGAAATGCGAAAAAGGAAATAATTAGTGTGTTTTCTTGTTTAGTAAAATGTGAGAATCTCGCCAATGATATTAGAATAAAGAAAAAATTACATATTCAATTTTTAATTAAATACAATTTTATTTTATTCAAATAGTTTTTTTGTAAACACAATGTTTTTCTAACTTTAAATTTAGTTAGTAACAAGTATATTTGTTATTATTAAAGGCATCTTGCAGAAAGATATTAGTGCTAGAGAGGTTTGTCTCAGAAAGCCCCAAAAAATTCTGCCACAGGTGTCAGACCAAGTTTACCTTAGTGATTTATAGGGTTCACATGGATTTTAGTACACGGGTTGTTTATTAATGTGCTTATGGACACATGGGTCATAACATATTTCGATTAGAAAACAACCATAATTTTGTGTACACGCAGTAACCATCATTAAATTCATAAATGATTTCTTGATTCAATCATTAACTTTTTAATTTTATTTGAATATATACATATATTGATATCGCTGTGGAAAAGAGTATCCTTAAAAACACCACTTTAGGTTGGCATCCTTACCCTGTCATTAGAATTTTCATCATCTTATAATTCAATGCTCTTTTCTTTCTTAGAATTATCCACCCTCTCAACAAGGAATGTATGGTCAAAGCATGCCGCCTCCAAACAAAGTTGCACCGCCCAGCAACTTACCTGGAAACATGTATCAACGTGATATGTATTCTGTGGGCCAAAAACGCCACAACGAGTACTCGAAACCTCACGGCCAAGATCAGTATCACATGGGACCCTATCCACAGCAGCAACAATCTGCGGCTCCTTATTCTGGTAAAAATAATAAATATTGGTGCATTTTTAATCGAGAAATATCCTGGAATAATGATTCTTCCTGATTCATAAATTGTACAGTTCTTGTAATATCTCAAAAAGTTGAATATTTGGGCTTTTAGGATTGGATTAATGAATTATATATTGTTTCATAGTAACACTTTCCTGAAACCCTGGTTTTAAGAATAAACTCACCCAACATCCCCTTTTTTGAGGGGGTTATATAAAAATAAAATTTTAAGATTTTTTTCCCCAATTTCTTTGTATTCTAACATGCATGCTAAATATAGGAACAAGATGAACCTACCAAAAAAAATTATAGCTTGATTGTTACCAAAGTTATAAATAAGAAAAATAGTTCAAAAATTGACTATTTTAGTCATTTTTCTCATTTCGAAGTGTAAAACAAATAGCGTAATAATAAAAACTTTTTTATAAAGCATAGCACCCAAATGAAAAATTAGTTAGGCAATTGATTTTAAATTCGAAAATAATCACACGAATTGATTTTCATGAATTGATTTTAAGTTAATAGAAAATCTAGAAGTAGTGTAAAATTATATACTCAGTTATTATGCACACATTAAGCATTTTAGTACATATGTTCACGAGGAGAGAATATAAGTATTTAATTTAAGATTGTAATGAGAACGCAGATATGATTCTTTTAATCATTGAAAGAACACAAATGGACATATCACATGAAATCTATATCTACAATATGGATTAACGTACCATTAACACAATTTTTTTTTTAACAATTTCATATGTTCATTATTTAAATCTCCCTTTCATAATTAACAAAATTTGTATTAAACAAAATATTAGCTCACACTAATTTGGTTCGCAAATATTGAAACTGTTTTTTTGCATTTATTAAAATGCAAAATATAACTGAAAGTTTAAAGTAACTCTTTATTTCTTTGTATTGAAATATTTAAACAGAAAAGCAGGGTTCGTTGATTCAAAATCAGCTTGATTAAATCAGCTTGATTTAAATCACAATTTAAATCATGATTAAAATCAAAGGATTTTTTTAAAAAAATCATTGATTTAAATCAACTAATTTATATATATATATATATTATATTGATTTTACAAGTTAAAAAACAGTGCTTTAAATATTGATACTTTTATTATTTTCTTTTCTTAGTTTTAAAATTTATTTTAAATAAATTGCTGCATTAATTAATTTTAGTTAATGAAATTACTTTCTTTCTTGGTGTGTGTTAAACACATTTGAAATTACATGTTTAAAAATCTTTTGATTCTTAACATTGAAAGTACAGATTAAAGTAAATATTTAATGCTGTCTTAATATAGACTTGCATAGCTGTAGAAAGTAAATAAACATGCACTATATGAACAAA